AAAAAAGTGCTAAAGACTATACAAGTAACAAAATAAGAAATGGGAGAATTAGTGATTATAGAGCAGAAAAGCCCTTTGTAAGTACACTTTTTTAAAAAAAGAAAAGCTACATTTAGAGAACTATAGAATGTCAGAGCTCTAGAAGATCATTAATCTAATCTCTTTATTTCACGGGAAAATGACCTTAGCTTCCCCAAATTTAATAGCTCCCTTATATACATATAATAGCTAGTAACAAAATGAATATACCAATTACAGTAGCAACAAAAAACAAGAAATCCCAAATAATAAACTCAACAAAAAATGTACAGAAAACATTAATGAAGAAACCACAACAAATTAGTGACATAACATCAAAAAAGAATTTGGGTAAGAGTAGAGTTATAAAACGTTTCTGGAGGGAAAATTGCCTATTTTAATTATGTCACCATTATCCTCACAATAGGTGTTAAGTAATAGCAGAAACTAATAGTGATTTGTATTATTTTAAAAAAATTGTTCAGACTTTTTCCCTAAATATTCCATTATTACCAAATATCACTTTCAGAATGAAACTGATTATTTCAAATGTCAACACTGCCTGCTTAAAAGCCTCCTTTGTTTTCTTCTTTGCTAACAGTCTCATCTCAGTCGTCTCAAATCTCAGGTTTTCTCTCATCCCACACCAATTCCATATGCACACCATTAAGCTGCCAAACATTTAGTTGTCCATGACAACCCTATTAATTTTCCTGTTGTACATATAAGACAACTGAGGATTACAGTGGTTAAATAAATACTTGCCAAATTACACACTAAATATATGATTGATGAACTCTCATATCTGCAAGATTTATTCTCACTCAATACTCTAGGTTGACTACTGCAGTCCAAACTGCCTCCTTGATACAGTAAACACCATGATCTTTTATATTTTATCATTTCAATACCACCCTTAGTTGACCTTTTCCATGAAGGTCTATTTTAGTTTTCATCCACTCTCTATTTTAGTTTTCCTAAAATCTTCAGCCTTCCTAAAATCACTCTGTCCTTTCTACTTTTACAAATGCTGCTTCCTGTCCTCAGCCTACTTCCCTCATGAGCCAAGGTTAATAGTCATTTAAGCCTATTACCTGCTTCCTTAGAAACCTGGTTGTTCCTCCTTCTCTGCTATAACAGTACCTGCTCCCATGTCTGCTACAGAAGTTTTATGTGTTAATGTTGGTTTCCACATCTTTTTTACTCATTTTCTCTCTGCAGTCCTCCCAGAAGAAAACTAAACCTAAATCTGCTTGAGATATTCAACAACCAGGCCAGTGCATATGACATATACTGGGTACTTAAGAAACATTTGTTAAAAAGAAATGAATAAAGATTATAAAGAAAAAGTAAATTAAAATTCATGATTAGTTAAAAACTATTTTGTGTATTAGTCTACATTTTTTTGATCTGAAAAGTAACATAAAGATAATGGAATATAGAGGAAATCCATTCTGAGCCATAAATTCATAGATGTTATAATTCTCACATTCTGATTTTGCTTTATTAATGATACTCAAATGCTTCCATATAAGTAGGTATAAATTTCTTAATTTTGAAAAAATATAGCACACAATCAGTGGAAAATTATACTTTTGTCACCTATGAACAACTTTTACAGCTCGGTCCCCGGGGAAATGGAAGTGCTACGAAGAGATGGAAGCAGTGAAAGGGAAGTAGGTGTTACAGACTGGAAAGGAGGCTCTGTGTAATAATGACTTCACTTCTGGATGCTAGGGAACAAATATAAAGCTTTCCTCCTGAAGAAACAGCATTTAATCAACTAATTAGCCATAGTAGTTGGATTTATTGAGCTAATTAAAAAATCCATTCTCCTTCAAAGCAGTGCTATATAACAGAAATATAAAGCTAACCAGAGAGGCATGTTCAGATGTTCTAGGAAACGCATTCCAAAAATTATTTTCAACAATATGTATTTATTCTAACATATTACTCAAGATATCATTTCAACATGTAATCAATCCTTAAAAACTACTACTGAGTTTTTTTGAAACGCAGTATGTACTTAACACAAATCTCAATTCAGAGTAGCCAATTTCAAGAGTTCAGTAACCAGATTTGGCTGATGGCTACTATATTAAACAGTATAGCTCTAAAGCAAAGCTACTGAAATCCAAAAACAAAAACAACAATGAAAAAATCTTTTTGCAACAGAACTCTAAACTCTACTGTAAAATATACATAAGGACTCCTAATGTAAAAGCTGATTTCAAGATTTGACAATGATAATAATGATGACGATATAATCATAACAGCTGACACTTAAATACACTACAAACGATGCCCCAATGATAGTTTCAAGCATGGTTTTTACTCAATTCTCACAAAAACCCAATAAGGATTATAATCTCAATCTATAAGGTGAGGAAACAACCCCAGGCAACCAGGCCACAAGGAAATACTATGCACCTGCTAAAATAATCAAAAAGAATTCCATATAGATTTATTGAGCTAATTTAAAAATCCATATAGAACTCTCCTTGATTATTTTATATAGACTTCTCTATAGATTTCCACATAGAATTCTCCTTGATTATTTTATATAGAATTCTTTATAGAATTCTCCTTATTTTATATAGAATTCCATATAGAATTCTCCTTGATTATTTAATATAGAATTCTCGATTATTTTATATAGAATTCTCTATAGAATTCCATATAGAATTCTCCTTGATTATTTTATATAGAAGTCTCCTTGATTATTTTATATAGAATTCTCTACAGAATTCCATATAGAGTTCTCTTTGATTATTTTAAATAGAATTCTCCTTGATTATTTTATATAGAATTATCTATAGAATTCCATATAGAATTCTCCCTGATTATTTTATATAGAAGTCTCCTTGATTATTTTATATAGAATTCTCTACAGAATTCCATATAGAGTTCTCTTTGATTATTTTAAATAGAATTCTCCTTGATTATTTTATATAGAATTATCTATAGAATTCCATATAGAATTCTCCCTGATTATTTTATATAGAATTATCCTTGATTATTTTATACAGAATTCTCTAGAATTCCATATAGAATTCTCCTTGATTATTTTATATAGAATTATCTATAGAATTCCATATAGAATTCTCCTTGATTATTTTACATAGAATTCTCTATAGAATTCCATATAGAATTCTCCTTCATTATTTTAGATAAAATTCTCTATAGAATTCCATATAGAATTCTCCTTGATTATTTTATATAGAATTCTCCCTGATTATTTTATACAGAATTCTCTATAGAATTCCACATAGAATTCTCCTTGATTATTTTATATAGAATTCTCTATAGAATTGCATATAGAATTGTCCTTGATTATTTTATATAGAATTCTCCTTGATTATTATATATAGAATTCTCAATTATTTTATATAGAATTCTCCTTGATTATTTTACATAGAATTCTCTATAGAATTCCATATAGACTTCTCCTTGATTATTTTATATAGAATTCTCAATTATTTTATATAGAATTCTCTATAGAATTCCACATAAAGTTCTCCCTGATTATTTTATATAGAATTCTCCTTGATTATTTTATACAGAATTCTCTATAGAATTCCATATAGAATTCTCCTTGATTATTTTATATAGAATTCTCAATTATTTTATATAGAATTCTCTATAGAATTCTCCTTGATTATTTTACATAGAATTCGCCTCGATTATTTTATACAGAATTCTCTATAGAATTCAATATAGAATTCTCCTTGATTATTTTACATAGAATTCTCGATTATTTTATATAGAATTCTCTATAGAATTCCTTATAGAATTCTCCTTATTTTATATAGAATTCTTGATTATTTTATATAGAAATCTCTATAGAATTCCATATAGAATTCTCCTTGATTATTTTACATAGAATTCCCAATTATTTTATATAGAATTCTCTATCAAATTCCATATAGAATTCTCCTTGATTTTATATAGAATTCTCGATTATTTTATATAGAAATCTCTATATAATTCCATACAGAATGCTCCTTGATTATTTTATATAAAATTCTCTATAGAATTCCATATAGAATTCTCGTTGATTATTTTATATAGAATTCTCTTTGATTATTTTGTACAGAATTCTCTATAGCATTCTACATAGAATTCTTCTTAATTATTTTATATAGAATTCTCCTTGATTATTTTATACAGAATTCTCTATATAATTCAATATAGAATTCGCCTTGATTATTTTATACAGAATTCTCTATAGAATTCCACATAGAATTCTCCTTGATTATTTTATATAGAATTCTCCTTATTTTATACAGTATTCTCTATAGAGTTCCATATTGAATTCTCCTTGATTATTTTATATAGAATTCTCCTTGATTATTTTATACAGAATTCTCTATAGGATTTTATATAGAATTCTCCTTGATTATTTTATATAGAATCCTCCTTGATTATTTTATACAGAATTCTCTATAGGATTTTATATAGAATTCTCCTTGATTATTTTATATAGAATCCTCCTTGATTATTTTATAAAGAATTCTCTACAGAATTCCATATAAAATTCTCCTTGATTATTTTATATAGAATCCTCCTTGATTATTTTATACAGAATTCTCTATAGAAATCCATATAGAATTCTCCTTGATTATTTTATACAGAATTCTCTATGGAAATCCATGTAGAATTCTCCTCGATTATTTTATATAACATTCTCCTAGATTATTTTATACAGAATTCTCTATAGATTTCCATATAGAATTCTCCTTGATTATTTTATACAGAATTCCCAATAGAATTTCATATAGAATTCTCCTTGATTATTTTATACAGAATTCTCTGTAGAATTCCATATAGAATTCTCCTTGATTATTTTACATAGAATTCTCGATTATTTTATACAGAATTCTCCTTGATTATTTTACATAGAATTCTCGATTGTTTTACATAGAATTCTCTATAGAATTCCATATAGAATCCTCCTTGATTATTTTACATAAAATTCTCGATTATTTTACATAGAATTCTCTATAGAATTCCATATAGAATTCTCCTTGATTATTTTACATAGAATTCTCAATTATTTTATACAGAATTGTCTATAGAATTCCATATAGAATTCTCCTTGATTATTTTATATACAATTCTGCTTGATTATTTTATACAGAATTCTCTATAGAATTCCATATAGAATTCTCCTTGATTATTTTATATAGAATTCTCCTTGATTATTTTATACAGAATTCTCTATAGAATTCCATATAGAATTCTCCTTGACTATTTTATATAGAAATCTCCTTGACTATAGAGGATTCTCTATAGAATTCTCCTTCATTATTTTACGTAGAATTCTCGATTATTATATATCAAATTCTCTATAGAATTCCATATGGAATTCTCCTTGATTATTTTACATAGAATTCTCGATTATTTTATATAGAGTTCCCTATAGAATTCCATATAGAATTTTCTTTATTTTACAAAGAATTCTCAATTATTTTATATAGAATTCTCTATAGAATTCCATATAGAATTCTGCTTGATTATTTTATAGAGAATTCTCCTTGATTATTTTAAACAAAATTCTCTATAGAATTCCATATAGAATTCTCCTTGATTATTTTACATAGAATTCTCCTTGATTATTTTACGTAGAATTCTCCTTTATTATTTTATATAGAATTGTCTATAGAATTTTATATAGAATTCTCCTCGATGATTTTATATAGAATTCTCCTTGATTATGTTACACAGAATTCTCTATAGAGTTCCATATAGAATTCTCCTTGATTATTTTGTGCAGAACTCTATATAGAATACCATAAAGAATTCTCCTTGATTATTTTATAGAGAATTTTCCTTGATTATTTTATACAGAATTCTCTATAGAATTCCATATAGAATTCTCCTTATTTTATATAGAATTCTCTATTATTTTATACAGAATTCTCTATAGAAATCCATATAAAATTCTCCTTGATTATTTTACATAGAATTCTCCTTGATTATTTTATACAGAATTATCTATAGAGTTCCATATTGAATTCTCCTTATTTTATATAGAATTCTCCTTGATTATTTTATACAGAATTCTCTATAGAATTCAATATAGAATTCTCCTTGATTATTTTACATAGAATTCTCCTTGATTATTATATACAGAATTCTCTAGAGTTCCATACAGAATTCTCCTTGATTGGGCCGGGCGCGGTGGCTCAAGCCTGTAATCCCAGCACTTTGGGAGGCCGAGGCGGGTGGATCACAAGGTCAAGAGATCGAGACCATCCTGGTCAACATAGTGAAACCCCGTCTCTACTAAAAATACAAAACTTAGCTGGGCATGGTGGCGCATGCCTGTAATCCCAGCTCCTCAGGAGGCTGAGGCAGGAGAATTGCTTGAACCCAGGAGGCAGAGGTTGCGGTGAGCCGAGATCGCGCCATTGCACTCCAGCCTGGGTAACAAGAGCGAAACTCCGTCTCAAAAAAAAAAAAAAAAAAGAATTCTCCTTGATTATTTTATATAGAATTCTCCTTATTTTGTATAGAATTCTCTATTATTTTATGTAGAATTCTCTATAGAATTCCATATGGAATTCTCCTTGATTTTTTATATAGAATTCTCTATAGAATTCCATATAGAATTATCCTTGATTATTTTATATAGAATTCTCGATTATTTTATATTGAATTCTCTATAGAATTCCATATAGAATTCTCCTTGATTATTTTATATAGAATTCCCCTTGATTATTTTATATAGAATTCTCTATAGAATTCCATATAGAATTCTCATTATTTTATATAGAATTCTCTATAGAATTCCATAGAGAATTCTCATTTTATATAGAATTCTTCTTGATTATTTTACATAGAATTCCATATAGAATTCTCCTTGATTATTTTATATAGAATTCTCCTTGATTATTTTATATAGAATTCTCCTTGATTATTTTATACAGAATTCTCTATAGAATTCCATATAGAGGGCCGGGCGCGGTGGCTCAAGCCTGTAATCCCAGCACTTTGGGAGGCCGAGGTGGGTGGATCACGAGGTCGATAGATGGAGACCATCCTGGTCAACATGGTGAAACCCCGTCTCTACTAAAGATACAAAAAATTAGCTAGGCATGGTGGCGCTTGCCTGTAATCCCAGCTACTCAGGAGGCTGAGGCGGGAGAATTGCCTGGACCCAGGAGGTGGAGGTTGGGGTGAGCCGAGATCGCGCCATTGCACTCCAGCCTGGGTAACAAGAGCGAAACTACGTCTCAAAAAAAAAAAAAAAAAAAAAAAAAAAGAATTCCATATAGAATTCTCCTTATTTTATACAGAATTGTCTATAGAATTCCATATAGAATTCTGCTTGATTATTTTATATAGAATTCTCCTTGATTATTTTATATAGAATTCTCCTTGATTATTTTATACAGAATTCTCTATAGAATTCCATATAGAGGGCCGGGCGCGGTGGCTCAAGCCTGTAATCCCAGCACTTTGGGAGGCCGAGGCGGGTGGATCACGAGGTCGAGAGATCGAGACCATCCTGGTCAACATGGTGAAACCCCATCTCTACTAAAAATACAAAAAATTAGCTGGGCATGGTGGCATGTGCCTGTAATCCCAGCTACTCAGGAGGCTGAGGCAGGAGAATTGCCTGAACCCAGGAGGCGGAGGTTGCGGTGAGCCGAGATCGCGCCATTGCACTCCAGCCTGGGTAACAAGAGCGAAACTCCGTCTCAAAAAAAAAAAAAAAAAAAAGAATTCCATATAGAATTCTCCTTGATCATTTTAGCAGGTACATAGTATTTCCTTGTGACCTCGTTGCCTGGATTTTTTCCTCACCTTATAGATATGGAAAGATCTGTCAGTGTATCCAAAAGACCTTTATATTGACATGGAAAGATCTGTCAATGTATCCAAAAGACCTTTATATTGATATGGAAAGATCTCTCAATGTATACAAAAGACCTCTATATTGGACAGTAAGTTAAAAATCAGATTGCTGAAGAAAATGTTTACTATAACATTCTTTTTCCAAGGGAAAAGCGCAGAAAATAGGGGACATTCTGACACATTTGTACTTTTAGGTATATACAGTTAATTACAGCTATATTCATATCAAAAAGGTTTGGAAAATTAGAAGCAATGGTTAACACTTATTATCCTGGGAGAAGGGGAGTTTAAGTTAAATGGTCTCTTTGTTTTAAATTTTTATCTTTTATATAATTTTAAATATTATACCATGCATAGAGCAAATGCTAGCAGAAAGAAAAAATAATACAAACTTTTAAAAATCAGAAAACAAAGAAGGAACAGCCTTGAAATTGACAGGAATTCAACAAATTAGAAAGCACAGCAGAAGATATGGCACATCAGGGACCTCTGCCCTCCAAAGATTTGCCAGATAATTTAAGAACTGCTTTTTTGAGAGAAATATATAGTTTAAAAGAACATTCAAAATATGCCTATCTTATGTTAATGAATTTACCTGCAGATAAAGCTGTATTATAGGAAGCATCTGTAATCAATTTATTCCTCAAAAGCAGAGGTCAACAAACTTTTTCAGTAAAGTTTATATTTTTGGCATTGCAGGCCATATGGTTTCTGCTGCAACTACTCAGCTCTGCCACTGTAGCAAGAAAACAGCCACAGACAACAGGTAAACAAACAGCCTCGCTGTGCTCCAATGAAACTGTTTATAAAAACAGTTGGAGAAGCGGCCGGGCACGGTGGCTCAAGCCTGTAATCCCAGCACTTTGGGAGGCCGAGGCGGGTGGATCACGAGGTCAAGAAATCGAGACCATCCTGGTCAACATGGTGAAACCCCGTCTCTACTAAAAATACAAAAAATTAGCTGGACATGGTGGCGCGTGCCTGTATTCCCAGCTACTCAGGAGGCTGAGGCAGGAGAATTGCCTGAACCCAGGAGGCGGAGGTTGCAGTGAGCCGAGATCGCGCCGTGGCGCTCCATCCTGGGTAACAAGAGCGAAACTCCGTCTCAAAAAAAAAAAAAAAAAAAAAAAAAAAAAAAAACAGTTGGAGAAGAGAATTTGGGCCATGGATAATAATTTGCCAACCCACACTCAAGAATAAGGTTCAAGGAGTTTGGCTAGACCTTATGGTACATCGCCTCTAAAAAAGAGCATTTTAAGATACCACTACAAGAAACCTATTGTGGATTTGCCATAGGAGTGTTGGTGAGGACACTGTGCTCTCCACCTCCTAGAGTAAAAGCCAAAAAGGATTTTTTTTTTTTAAGACTTATATGGCAAGAAATATTTTCTTAACATGGGAAATTTATCTTTCTCTTTAGGGAAATGCGAATCGTGTAACTCATGATGTTTGCAAGAAATATCAGAAAAATTAGTACACTGATTTATGAAAATGGTTTCCAGCCAGGTTTTTTACATATTACCTAGCAACTCTTTCTAGGTCTTCATCTTTATTGTTACCACCTTTTCCTTAATCCAGATTTTAGCTATCTTTACTTTCCATTTTATTATATGGAAAACCAAAGAAGAATTCTTTTTTTAAAAAAGCAACTCACCTGGGACTTCATCATGTTTTGTTCTTCCAAAAGGCCAGATGACTGAAAAAGCAAAACTGGTGATCAGAATGTTTTTTATAGCCCAAACCCAGACCGCAGCTTTCACTTTCACCGGTTTAGCAACAACTAACATCAGAAGTCAGGTAGCTAATGGGCTATCCTGTGGGATAATGTTGTTTGAGCCTTACAGAAGGATCAGTAGGCACCATGTAGAGGAGGGATCATTCTTTACTCCTCTTTTACCTATAATATGATCAACATAGAAGCTGGCCAAGGTTTTATCATTGGGTAGATGTGAAGATATGTTTCCAGTTGATTTAGTAACAATTTATTGCTCTCCCAGGGAATCAGGAATTCTATTTATAGAAGATTTTCATGAGGCAATAATCATGGATGGATATATAGAGACATAAGTGAAGATGGAGCTCCTTGGCAATAGAATGACTAGATGGAAAACTGAAGCATTCATTCCCTATTCCTAAAAAGAAGCAGCAGCTGAATCCAACAATCTTCCAAAAACTCTCTTATTTCCCCCAACTCAGAAAACTCTCATTATATCAATATGCATGAACTCAAGGGTTAATTTTAAGATGTTTTTTGTTTAACTTTGTTTTGCTGATTTTCAATGGCGCTATTGTCTGCATACAAAATGGATTTAGGTTTCAACCACTGAAAAAAGAGAATATACTGCAATGCAGGAAGGTACATACCCGGTAAACTTTTCTCAGTCCTGGGACAAGTCATGCAGACAGAGCTGAACTAGTTCAGAGGAAGTGGGGGCTCCCATTACCGACGGATTGTTTTATATGGAGCATCCCAGGCTGTATCAAAACAGATCTAAAAGGAAACTAAAGAAACAGTCATACTTATCTCTGGACACCCAGCAGATGCTCAACAAATGGTTTTCGAATAAAAGATAAAATGATTTCAATAAACTTAGAAAGTGGAGACTGAAATCAAACTTTTCATTATGATTCTGTCAGTTTTGATTTGTTTGGTCTTGTTTTTAAATGATCATTTCTGATGGGGGCACCAGGCTTAAGGGGCAATGGTAGACTAAGAAAGGATGTGAAAAGGGGCTTGACCTTTCAGAACTCAACAGTTGCCTATGAGCTGGAGAAATTTAATGGAAGTAAAGGCCTTCCCCAGTAAAACGTAGCTGACCCCCATGACACCCGGGTCCCATCACTGTCTCCATCTAAATCTCGGAAGTCTCAGGCCTAGCAATTATGTACCCTACTGAACTCTCCCATACAATTACATAGCTACTCAACACCCCCATCATTTAGTCCATAGCCTTCTATCACTGATTCCTCAGAGCCCCCTAAATCACTGACACCAGTTAAACCCACCAGTCGGTCCACCTGCACGCCATTCCTGACCCCAAAGACACCCCCTCACCTCTCACTTCCCAGTTCCTAATCACATCTTGGACTCCCACATAAAACCAACACTAATCCCACCTACCTCCCCAAACAGTGACTTGATAAACCTCCTACCACTGACCCTCACGGGCTCCTCTCCTCCGGTTACCAATCCCACAGACTCACCTTGGACCGAACACATCACCGCCGCTGACTCCTAGCTCGATTATCAGATCCCCTAAACCCCCATCACCGTTGAATGGGAACCGCTGTCACATCCATATTGGCGAACTCTCTCGCTTCCTGTCCGCGAGCGCAACGCTGGGCTCCCCAGGCAGGGCTGTTCCGTACCGGGCGGTTTTGCCCGTTTCGCATCTTCAGCGGCTTTGTTCAAAAGGCAACATGGCTGCTCCCAGATGCTGTTTCCGAAGGGGGCCGCCATCTTGAGAGCCTGGTCGTTTCCGTACGAGCGGAGGATTTGCCGGGTACTGAGCCTGAGCGTGGGCTGTACCACCGTGGCAGCAAAGGGAGGGGAAGACGACGGGAAGGAGGCCTACGACGGGAACAGTAAGGTGCACACTTTTGCAGACAGACTTTACTAGAGAGATTGAAGAGGAAGTTGGAGTGAGCCGCCGTCTACTGGAAGAATGTTTCTGACGTAAGGGGAGGAATTTGAAATAGTCCCGTGGAAGTGTTTGTGAATGGTACAGCCCCATGCCGGGAGATTCGATTTGCTGCGAGGGGTAGCGTGGAATGGTGCGGTCCTCACCTGGGAGATGTCACCGAGGGAGGAGAGAGGGCCGAAATCTGGGGGCGAGGAGGGCTGAACGACCGTTGTCAACTGTAGTTATGCCAATAACAACGGTAAGGAATGCTTATAAGAGAAACTGATACTGCAGTAATAAATTAATAGAGGTTGACTGAAGAAAAAACGGAAATTAAGAGGCTGGGAAGAGGAGACTGAGGCACAAAGAGAGGGACAGTGAGAAGCAGAGAATAGAGAGAAAATGGGGGAAATGGGGGCAGAGGGCGAGCCTAGAAAGAAGGAGAAATGGGAGACTAAGAGAAAAAAAATAGACATAGGAATAGAAGTGGGAAGCCAAGGGATAGATCGCTGTAGAGAGACTGAGACAGAAAAGAGACTTGAAAAGCAGAACCGACAGAAGGGGAAGACTGAGGAGATTAGATTTCGCAGACAACAACCACCGTGATTTTTTTTAAAAAAATGAACCAGCCGGGCGCGGTGGCTCAAGCCTGTAATCCCAGCACTTTGGGTGGCCGAGGCGGGTGAATCACGAGGTCAAGAAATCGAGGCCATCCTGGTCAACATGGTGAAACCCCATCTCTACTAAAAATACAAAAAATTAGCTGGGCATGGTGGCGTGTGCCTGTAATCCCAGCTACTCAGGAGGCTGAGGCAGGAGAATTGCCTGAACCCAGGAGGCGGAGGTTGCGGTGAGCCGAGATCGCGCCATTGCACTCCAGCCTGGGCAACAACAGCGAAACTCCGTCTCAAAAAAAAAAAAAAAAAAAAAAAAAAAGAACCAGCCAAAAGAATACTAAAATTTTTATCTTAACCTTTAGGGCTTACATCAAGCTTTACAAAAAAATCCATGTTCACAGACCAACGTTTCATTTGTATGAATGAATACAATTTTGAATCATAATTTTCACACAAATCATGCTTTTTGATATATTATGAAATAGGCAGCAATTTTACATTTAGCCATTTTATTTCTCCTGTCAAAACAAATGCAGACTTAGGTAAGAAGACAATGTATTCAGAAAGACTGTCTGCATGAAGAAAAATGCTCCAATCTCAAATCTGCAAGCATCACAATATCCAACAAAATGGCTTTCTTTTTTTAAATAGGGAAGAGTAAGAAGGGTTGACAGAGCCGGGCGCGGTGGCTCAAGCCTGTAATCCCAGCACTTTGGGAGGCTGAGGCGGGTGGATCACGAGGTCAAGAGATCGAGACCATCCTGGTCAACATGGTGAAACCCCGTCTCTACTAAAAATACAAAAAATTAGCTGGGCATGGTGGCGCATGCCTGTAATCCCAGCTACTCAGGAGGCTGAGGCAGGAGAATTGCCTGAACCCAGGAGGCGGAGGTTGCGGTGAGCCGAGATCACGCCATTGCACTCCAGCCTGGGTAACAAGAGCGAAACTCCGTCTCAAAAAAAAAAAAAAAAAAAAAGAAGGGTTAGCAGGAACTTTGTAGGGAGGAGGATATGAGGTAGGGGTGTGCAGGTGGCAAAACTAGGGCATTTCTACAGGAATTGTTGCTGTTGTCACGGGATTCTGAGAATAAGCGGTTAAGGGGAGACGTTCTGCATCATAGTACATTAGTGCAGTGTTTCAACTCACAGCGAGCCAAAATGTAGGAGCCTGCGGGGAGGAGAGAAGTCGGACTAAAGTTTGGTCAAGACAAAGAGGGTAAGAAATGGTTGGTTGTGAGCACTTAACTTCATATCTCTATTTGGACTTCCACAGTTACATCAATATTTATTTCTTGCCTTGAGCTTAAGACAGTGTAGACACTGAATTAAGTGGTAAGGGTATATAGTAATGATTAATTCAGAATCCTCAGCCTCAAGGAGTGATGCCAGTGTAAGTTGTGGAGTCAGGAAAGGGCCAGACTCTGCTGCTATTCCTATGCGGAGAGCCTTGTAGGAATTGTAAAAACTTTAGTTCTTCATCTTAAGAATGATGGAAAGCTGTCCTTATATAATATACTATTTAATTAAAAAAGAAAATGTTGAAGGAACAGGGAACCTCCCTCATAATGAAAGGAAGAAAATTAAAGCCATAGTAAGATACCATTTCTTATCTATTTGCTTATAAAATATTATTCTAATTTGGCAATACCGTTAGTAAGGCCGTGGGAAGTAGGAACTTTCATGTATTACTGCTGGAACAGCAAACTTGTATAGCCGCTATTTAGAGGGGTTGGCAATATCTAGCAAAACTACATGTATTAGTTATCTGTTGCTCTGTAACCAATTACCCAAAACTTAGCAACTTGAAATTGTAAATATTTATTGTCCCATAGTTTCTGTGAGTTAATGAGAACAGCTTGGCTTGGTGGTTTAGGTTTAGTCTCTCATGAAGTTGCAATCAAGCCGTTGGCCAGGGCTGCAGTTATTTCACGGCTCAACTGGAGGAGGATGTGCTTCCAAACTCAATCAAATAGCGGTGGGCAAGCCTCAGAATATCAGTTTCCAAGCTTGCCTAGATGGCTGCTTACAGGCCTCAGTTCCTCACTATGTGGGCCCTTTGTTAGGCTGCATTACTGCTTTCATGCTATGGCAGGTGTCTTCCTCTTCCTAACACTGCCTCGTGATATGACAGCTGACTTGTGTACAGACAAGTGAGTCAAGGTGGAGGGAACACATACAAAACAGTAGCCACAGGCTTTTAATAACCTAAATTGGAAGTGGCAGCTGGTTACTTTTTCTGTATTCTATTGGCTAGAAGTGAGGCACTCAGGCCAGCCCATCATCAAAGGAATGGGAATTGAGCTGTACCTCTTAAGGGGAGGATTAACAAAGAATATGTGGACATATTTCTAAAACCACAGCACTATGTAATTTTCACCCTATGATTCAGAAACCCCACTTGAAGAATATATTCCAGAGATATACCAGCAGAAAATAAAATAGCCAAAAGATGATTTATTGCAGGACTGTTTTTAGTACCAAAAGATAGCACATAATACAAACATTTAAAACAGTACTATTTGGCTGTGGATGTGTATGTGAGAGGAGTTGGAAGAGAGAGAGAGGGAGGGAGAAATATATCTTTCTGTACTAACGTGAAGTGAATTTCAGGATATAATATTATGTATCCTGAAATTAATTATATTAAGGATATGTAAAAAACAGAGTGGAAAAATGAAGATAATTTGCTATTACCATCTTTAATATAAAAGTGAATGAATATATATATATTATATATGTATGACATATGTATAATAAGTTGCAATGAGAAACGAATAAAGTGATGACTTTGCCCAGTCCTTTTTATTTACACCAGTTATATCTTCTATACAATCATCATAAACCCTGGATTAGCAAATACCAAACCATTGCTTCCAGGGGAAAAATAAAATTATATATATAAAATATTATTTTGTAAAATTTTGTGTAACTATAAAATATTATTTTATAAATAAAATCCCAGTTTGGACTTTATATATATATATAATAATCTTTAAAACAACTTATCCTGGGTAGATTTTATTTTATTTTACAAAAGAGAAAATGAGGTTGAGAAGTGTTACCTTGCCTAATGTCACTCCATTAACAGCTGTAGCTTCTTGTACATGACTGTGCTGCCCCTTCTGTCTCCATCCTCTGGTCTTCTCTATAT